AATAATTGCCATGAAGTTAGGTCAAAATCCTGCCTAAACTAGGGAAAAATTTCGCTAAGTTTCCAAGTTTCATGAACATGTCTTCACAAAATCATAACTTGAAATCCATGCATTTATAGAAGAAGTTGTGTTCTATAATATTTTAGATCTCATTGAGATATACAACTTTAATGTTGAAAGTTTCCTTTGAATCATCTTTCATCATGGTGAAAATTTGGCTCAAAGTTATGAAAAAATATGAATTTTCCAACACTTAGAAAAATTTCTAAGTTTAGAAATTTTGACTTTTCCAAATGAAATCTTGACTTTTTGATTTCTTGATGAACAAGTTTCACATTTTGACATGTTTTGATAAATTGTGATCCTTTGAATCATACTTGATTTTGATCAAAAAGTCAAAGTTTGACTTTTTAGTGTACAGTTGACTTTTTCATCAATTGACTGAAATTCAATTGTCAATCAATTGAAATTGAGGAATATTTTGAGCCATGCCATTAGGTAAAAATGAAGCATTTGAATCCTTGAGATCATGCCTCAAACCAACAAGTAATTTGCTAGGTCAAAAATCAGAAATTGCACCTTCTCAGTCAAAACCCTAATTTTGACCATTTTACCCTTTCGATGATCTGATCAAATTTCTTGAGGAATTGTGATCCAAACTTGATCAAATGACATATATGGGTTCATGAGGTTGATATGGATAAAAAATTATGAAGTTTGACTGTAAATTGACCACAGTTGAATTTTCCCCAATACAACTGATTTTTAGGTCAACTGATCAATTCACTGAGCAAAAATGTGATCCAAGACTTGAAACTTATCATGAGAAATATTGAGGGTCCAAAATGATCCATGAAAGTCATATGGGGCATTAAAAGTTCATTTGTCCTTGTGCAATCTCAAACCCTAATTTTCAGTCATCAGTGCTTAAGGAGGTGTCTTGAGCTGATCAAACCTTGTATAGTCTTGAACCAAGGGAGATCTTGTGAGAGATTACTTGATAAATGAGAGGACAAATTTTGGGGTACAACACACGCAAACACTAATTTTTTTTCAAATTGTTTTATCAAAGAAAACATATTCAAAAATGTCTTAAAATTGTGCCAGATGACTTAGGAACTATTAGAATAGCTAGAGGGAAAATTTTGGCTTATCTAATCGATTAGGTCCCTTGTCTAATTGATTAACTTAGTTCAAAATTACGCCCTAAGAAATTGAGACATCACTTTAATGATGTGCAACGACTATATATCTTTTATTTCCTTTTTGAGAACTTACAAACGCTTATTTTAGCTATCTAATTGATCATGAATATGCTCTAATCAATTAGATAACAGTAAAAAAAATTAGTTTCAAACTCCATTTTGAGGTTGCTTTTGTAATTACGGGAAGGGTAAAATTATAAATTCACCAAGGGAATCTTTTGTATACACCTTGGTTGAAGATTATTCTTTTAGGCATTTATTTGGGTTAGAAGCCAAGCATGTTAAAAGCTTTAGTTTGAGATTGTGTGATTCAGCCCTAGGTTAGGTTAAAGATCAAACCATGTTAAAATCTCCTAGGTTCTTGGTAATTGCAATATTAAAACCAAGATAGATTGAAGTCTATCCCGATATTAAAAGATTCACATGTTTGAGATCAACCCAGTGTTAAAATCTCATAGGTCATTGGTTATCCCGTTTAAAACCAAGGATTTGAACTCAAGGTTCATATTTGTGGAAAGAAGACTAATTGTTTCAATCCACTGTTGGGAAGGAAGATTGACCACTTCACTCTTGAGTTATTTTAAAGGAAAGATGCAAACACTCATATTTATTGTACGTCTTGTATTATTTGGTTGAAGATCAACTATCATATTCTTGTATAAGGGGGTTCATGAGTCTTTCCTACTAAAAGCGCTCAACATTTATTAAAAACTCTCAAGATCAATTCTTGGGGGACAAGACTAAGTCTTTTTAAACTGAACCTGTATAATTCTTGGTGATCTTCTTTTTCTCTTAACTCCTTTTATTTCCTCAATTTAGTTTCCGCTGGTAGGTTTTTTTTTGTGTTCTTATTCTCCCCTTAACTCCTTTTATTTTTCGTAATTTATTTTCTGCATTTTATTTTTTGTTGCTAAGTTTTCAAATTTATTTTAAACTCTGATTTTATTTCACAATATTTTTCAAAACCACGTTTTTTCAAACCACACAATTCACCCCCTTCTTGTGTGTGAAGTCTCAAGTCCAACAGTCTTCACCATTGGTCCCCACTACTACAACTTTCGAGGGAGATTTATTCTTGAGCGACTCCTCTCTCTCCCTCCTCCTCTCTCTCTCCCCCCTCTCTCTCCCTCTCTCTCTCTCTCTCACGTACTCAAACAATCAGTATTTGTTTATTAACTCCTCAATAACATCCTTTAGCTAGATGCAACTGGCAATGTTATGGCTAAGACCTTTATAAAAGCAACAATACTTGTTCTTGTTTGTTCTAGACAACTCTCAGATGGGAAAATGGGCTTTGATTCCTCCCTTTCGGAACTCTATGTTAGCATAATCTTAGAATATATTTTCGCATGACACATTTAATATAGTGTACTTGTATTACCGACCATGCATTCCCTGATCGGACTCATCCTTCTGCCCGTGGGACTCCTTTCCTGATGGGAGGATAAAGTTTGTGTGTGCGGAAGCGGGGTTGTCAAACAAGGTATTCAACTTTTATTCCAAGATCATGTAAAGACCGAGCCATGATCAACACTTTATATGTGGTTTGTGCTCCTTTTCTCCCAAACTTCAATATGAAGGGATGATCGTGCAAAAGGTCATTCTCGAAGATCCATCACTTAAGACCTTCTATATCTCCTTCTACATCCACGACTTTATATGTAAATCAGTTAATATAAGGTCGTAGACTCTCATTCTTCCCTTGGATGATCCCGCTCAAAGTAACTACCATCATAGTCTACCTTTTTCTGGGCGGTAAAGTGAGTAGTGAATAATTCGCTGAAATTTGTCCATGATTTAATACTTCTGTCTGACAGACCGTTGAACCATTATTTGACCGGTCCAACAAGAGTTAGTGCAAACAATTTGCATTCAGAAGCTTCATTAACATTAAAGTAGTTTAATATAATTGACAAGTTTCACATGCTCGTTCAGAACTCCCTTTCTGTTGTACTCGTTCAACTTGGGAGGTTTCTCTATGGACTTCAGTATTCTGGTATCTAGAATGAAGGTATATAGAGGATGCTTCTGTTGATTCTTCATTGGTTGATTTTCTTCCTAATCCTTCGAGATTTCGGGGAGGGCTTTGGTGCTTCCTACTCCTTTGATGATTCTTTGACTTTGGAGCTTTAATTCTTATGGAGGCAGTCGACTCCGGAGAGACAACCCGAATTCTTGTGGACATAGCCTCTTGAGTAGTGTCTCCTCGCGGAGGTGTGTTGTGCAGGCTTTCCTTGATGCAAAATAACCTTTATTCTAGATTGTGAATTATGATGCCAAAAGATGTTGTACATACTGCTCAATAACTCATTGGCACCTTACATCCTGAGGTTGGCATGCAATAGTTAGAAACGCGGTAAAGCTTCAGATTATGGAGTTGGATGTTGTACTAGAAGTCTGATTAAAGGTGTTGGAATAAATTCAATGATTGGAGGAGCTTAGAGTATATCTCGATGTAGTGGAGTCAATGTTACATTATTCGTAACACCTTGCAGAGGAGGAGGAGGAGGTGGAACAATCGTTGCTAGAGCGGCAACGACGGGGACAACAACTTCACGTGTTGTGGTGGAGCGAGTAGCTTTAGATCCAGGCATTATTGAGAAGTATGGAAATCGAGGATATGAAAATTCAGGAAATTAAAGTCGATACGATGCTTATTGGAACGAGCACAACGAATCTTCGTGTTCGATTTTGAGAGCTCTTGATTCGATGTCCTAAAAAGGCTTCAGACTATCAAATCTAAGAGCGAACCTGAGATCATGAAAAACATGAAAATTAGAAGTCGATTCCCATAAACGATGTCAATATTTCGTACTAGAACCAAAATTGAAGTGAAAATCAGAGAGAATAGTGGATTTGAGCTTTCCATATGACGAAGATGGAGCTTACCTGCAAAGTTAACACTTTAAAGCTCAAGTTAGCATATAAAGGAGAAGTGTGAATTGCAGAGAACCATTAAATATATCAGAAGTTTAATTATCCTATACTTATATGTAGAGTAGCTTTCATGCGCCAATAAAATTTTGGAAGACCGACAATGATCAATATAGTTTGCCTAAAACAGCTAACAAAATGTATTATAATAATATATTTAATTAATTAATTAAAGAAATATAATATAAATTTAAAAAAATAGTATAAATTAACCAACACGAATAATAGAAGTTTGTTTTTATAAAATAACTAAACACTTTCAACCTAATTGAATAACATGAGTATGATAATAATGATTTAGTTTTGAATTTTGATACTTAATGTCATATTTTTTATATTTATTAAAGATACCCAAAATATAATTCTGCGCCTTTTGGGGTTTACGGGTCCAAACTTGCCCCAGCAGAAAAGTATTTAAAAGTGATTAATTTACCTACCGGTTTTGACTTATTTAAAAGCGATTAATTACCCAACAACGCGAGTCGCAATTAAGAAGCTTGGTTTGCTTTGTGTTCGGTAACCAACCACCACAAGTCGTCGACGCGAAAAAATGGCAGTGACACCGAAAATTGCTCCTTCAATGCTCTCATCCGACTTCGCAAATTTGGCTTCCGAAGCTCATCGGATGGTCAATTGCGGCGCTGATTGGCTTCATATGGACATCATGGTACCACCCCCTTTCCCTATGATTGAAAATGTTTAGTTTCATAACATGGTTACTGACATGTCTCATTTTTGTTCATTTTCAGGATGGGTAAGGAATCGATCACTGTGTTGGTTTTTGCACTTTTGCCATTAAATTATTGAACATGTTTCTTTTTTTCATCTATTTTGTGTAGGCACTTTGTCCCGAATTTAACTATGGGCGCTCCAATCATTGAAAGTTTGAGAAAGCACACAGAGTAACAATCTTTCTTCTTCGCTGATTTAAATTCTTTTGTGCATAATATACAGTGAATTTGTTGAGTCAATAGTGGTTAACCCTTGTAGGGCATATTTGGATTGTCACCTGATGGTTACAAATCCTCTTGATTATGTTGAACCTTTGGGAAAAGCTGGTGCTTCTGGCTTTACATTTCATATAGAGACATCAAAAGGTTTGTGGTCTTGATACTTTTCCTTTGTGTTATTAATTTTTTCGTATGCGGTTTTCTTCCTCCTGCCTTTATATATGTGATTTCTTTTTCTGCTTTCTTAAAAGTGTTTCTTGTTGGCAGACAACTGGAAAGAACTTATCCGAAGTATTAAGTCACAAGGCATGAAGCCTGGTGTAGCCATAAAGCCTGGGACGTTGGTTGAAGAGGTTTTTCCTCTGGTATGCGTTTCTAATCGCTCTTGTTCTTGTCTGGTCATAGCTGCATAGCTGCATTTTTGTGTATAAACTTGAGATCAGATACATCTTTGACTGAGATTTTTGCCTTTAGAAGGTCTTTCTCTCTTCATCTTAGTTCTTTTCACAGGTTGAATCTGAAAATCCTGTGGAAATGGTTCTTGTCATGACTGTAGAGCCTGGATTTGGAGGACAAAAATTCATGCCAGAGATGATGGAAAAGGTATTATATTACTTTCTTAAATTTTGTCTTTCGGCTGACAACATTCTTATCAATCGCGGATTACGGAAAATAGTGGTTTTGCCAAGTTCTGGTACACTACAGTGCTATAGTTGCCATAAGTCTATAACCACTATTTGACGACACTTTGTTCTAAAACGCCATATAGCACTATTATATCCGCTATCTGACAACACTAGCTGACAACTCTTGTGTATGCCACATCTTTATGTATGATGTAGTTAATTTTCCCCTCTTTTCAAACCAGGTTCAAATACTGAGGAAGAAGTACCCATTACTTGACATAGAGGTATCTCTGCCTATTATCTTGTTTGTAACTTCTTTCTTGTCAAAATAGATGCGTATTTTCTTCATGGTTGTAAACTCACAAATGTGTCGAGATTTTTCACATTATGAATTCTTGAACTTGTTTAGTCCTTTACATTTTACACTTTGTAAATGTTCTCCCTATTTGTCCAATAACAGGGGCAGTGACAGTGATCTTTTATTTACTTCTTGTTGCCTCTGCAGTTTTTGCTTTTTATTTTTTATATAAGATCTTGCCCAAAACAAAACTTTCTATTTTATTTTTCAGTCCAATCATTGTATTCATGGAGGTGATGGAATGCTTGTGTTAGAGCATGCTCGTATGCACGGCTAGTGATAATAGTATCTGTACTGACCAAGACATGTCCAATTTTGATTGCAGGTTGATGGTGGATTAGGGCCTTCAACCATAGACACAGCTGCATCAGCAGGAGCGAATTGCATTGTTGCTGGAAGTTCAGTGTTTGGAGCCCCTGAGCCAGCTCAAGTTATATCCTTACTGAGGAATTCTCTAGAGAAAGCACAGCAAACAAAGTAAAGATCTGTCATTTATATTGCGGTACACGTCACAACTTCATATAGTCAATATGCTTGGTGTGCTAACATTTTCAAGTCAAATAAGAGATCAAGTTTACATCTCTCTGTTTATTGTGCAATTAAGAAATACTGTAAATGCATAAAAGGAATGACACAACGCTGTCACCTAAATCCTTTGTTGAATATTTTGAAGTTTACATTGAAATTTTGATCTATTATTAGTACTTTACATTATTTGTAAACAAGACACGGACACATTCATAGTAATTGAGATTTTAAATGCATCCTATAGATCAACAAGGTCTGGCACGGTTTACCTATGTAGTATCGATAACACAAGTTCATATAATAGAGTCATGTTTTTTGGGGTAAATGCATAAGAAAAGCTGTGACCTTGTGTTATCGAATATTAATGTGAGCCACAATTCCAAAGAGTTTGTCTCTATTTTGGTTTTCATTGTGTCATCATTACATTCCATTCCTTTTGTGCTGCGCATTTTTATTTTTATTTTTAATAAAAGCTTTTGTAATGCATTCTCATAACTAAATCAAATATATTGTTATTGTGCTCAAATTGACATCACGTAATGATACAACATTACTTTTACAAAATAAACTTTAGCCAAAGTAGATTGGGCTAGGAGAAGGTGAACAAGGTGTTTTAGGAGGTGAACTAGAGTGATTAAGGAGATTCAGGTGGACCTTTGGGAGGTGGATTGGGATTCAAGAGATATTAGGAATGCCTAGAATGCGTGGAATATTTAGAATTCCTGGGATTTCAGGTATATCTTGAATCCCATGTATGAAAAAACCAAAACTTGCACCATTATTATTTTGCTTGATTTCAGGTATATCTTGAATCCCATGCTTTGAAGAACTCTCAACTCTAGGAAATTCAGAAGCTGGACGATGCTTTTTGGGAGGTGGGCTGGGCATCTGGGGACGCTTGGAATTGTAGGGATGCTTGGAATGGGTGGGATTCTAGGTATCTCTGGAATTTTGGGGATGCTTGGAATGGGTGGGATTCTAGGTATCTCTGGAATTTTGGGGATGCTTGGAATTTTAGGGATTCTAGGTATCTTTGGAATTTTAGGGATGTTTGGAATGGGTGGGATTTTAGACATGTCTGGAATTTTAGGGATGTTTGGAATGGTTGGGATTTTAGATATATGTGAAGTCCTAGATATGAAAGAATTAAAATTTGCACCATTATTTTGCTTTATACAAACCTCAAACAAATTACTAGTACCATCACTATTTTGCTTTATAGCAACCTCACACAAGTTGATAGCATCATAATTATTTTGCTTTGTAGCAACCTCAAACAAGCGTCTAGCTTTCTCCATAAAAGAGATTAAAACAACCGTGATCAATAATAAGCCTTGGACGAGCAAGGCTAGTTTAGACCGCATTTTTATAGAGTAAAGTACTAGAAGTTCGCTATGATCTTCTGTGGTTGCTCTTGAATGTCGGTTGAAATATTACTTGTAGTTGTATTCCCTTTTAGTAATAGTAAGTAGTAATAAATTAATTTTTGATAGAAGTGCAAGTTATTGTTTCGAAATTGTTCCAATTATGTTTGTTTTCTCCATACATGGGGTCACATGTAATTTTGCATATATTGATTAAATGGATGCTTATTTCAATATTTAGCTCCAACTTTGATGTATTCCAATCCTTTGGACGGTTATAAGTTGAAACAAATCTAGTCGGATTTTCTTTGTTGGGAATCTATATTCCTAGACACTAAAAATTAGAAATATTGTTAGGAGTGGGTTTGGTCTCCTACTGCTCCCAAAATCAACTTAAATTTCTGCCTACCACAAAAAGTGGGAAGCATATAAAGAAGTAAAATGCAGAATCGCTTGAAAGAATAAAGGAAATGAAGAAAAATCATAAAATGAATAGAGTAAAAATACTTAGATTAAAAGTGGGATGCAAGTTCATAAAATTTTCACAAATTTTTGTATCTATATAACTTGGATGTTTGAATTCTATAAAGAACAATAATGAACAAATGTGAATCCTCATTATAGAGATGAAATCTATTTATATACTATGTACATCAATAATTGTTGACAACAATCAACTCTTTGACATTCAACACATACACTATTACGTGGACTTTTGTCGTATGCTTTGCATCTACATGTCTTCAGTTCTTGAACTGTTTTAAAACTGCTACTACTGTCGAAAAACACCTTCAAGTCTTCCAACTACCTCTGTTGAGAATAATTTACTTACTATCGAATTTTTGTGATTTTGGCATCGAAAACATGATTTAGCTACCCGCGCTTAGCCTGTATATTTATCCCACATCCCCACTCTTGTTGAATATGCTTGAGTAAAAAAAATCTCAAACTAATAGATGAGTCAAAAATCTCAGGCTAACAATGTCCCACAAAAATGCCACTTTCAATCATATTTGCAATATGAAAAAAAGTGATGTTTTTAGTAAATTCATGACACTTTTCAAAGTAGTCAATATACATCATCGTCATCATGACCAATTTCACCTAGCTCTCACGTCAAGAAACGTGCGCGCAACTGCCATCATGGTTCCGATTTTCAAGGCCATCGTGGACCTCAAGAATTAACTGCATTAAAAAAAAGAAAATTATTAATTAACAACTTTAATTTAAAAAATTAAAGCGCCACTTATTTTGATTTTAGAGGGAAACTTCTCTTTTTTGAACCCTAAGAATTTTAGTTGTTTCAAATTCCATTATCACTATTTCTTTTACTCAAGTTCAAAAATTATGGTTTCCTTTTCTGGCGCTGGCAAGCAGACTCAAGTCCCTTGTGTTGCTGACATTCATGGGCATGTCTTTATTAAAAATCGTAGCTATGTTCCAAAACCTCTAATGGAAATGGAAAAATTTTCCATTTGAGTTTTTTAAGTATTGATTCCCTTTTCTCTTGCAGATAGTGTTCATGCATTTTTAGATCCTTTACCCAAATCATCTAGGAAACCAAGAAAACTTAAAGAGTTTTTCCTCTACTCACCTTCATGTAAACCCCACGCGTTTAAAGACAAAACTTTTGAATTGAGATTTATGTAACAACTCAATCGTGTGTTTTGTTCTTCCCCTACTAGCACCAACGATTCCTATCTCAGTTAGTTGCACAGAATACAAAAGAAGAAAGAACATGTTTGGATCATATCCCGAAATCTAGTTTAAAGTGTGAAGTTTCTCTCACACATTTATACATATAATAGCTCGAGAATCTAAGAAATGTTATACTTCAAACAGTCTATGAAAAACTACAACACCAATCCTTGAGTCTAGTGTGGGTCTTGGTCTAATTATCACATTGCATTCCTCAAGCCGAATCTAATACGATGTTAAGTGTGCTTTGATCTCATCCCAAAAATTAGTTAAAAAGGCGAGATTGTTATCACACATTTATAGATCTAATAACCTAGAAACTTAAGTAATGTGAGATTCCAAACAAACTACAAACAACCTAGTTTGAGTTTGGATTCAATTTCCGAATTGTATTCTTTTTATATCATATTAAATGTTTTTTTGATAATTTGACTCTAATACCATGTTAAGTGAGTTTGGATCTCATCCCAAAAGTCATCTCAAAGAATGAGGTTAGTCTCACATATTTACTCATCCAACAACCCGTAAACCTAATTAATGCGAGACTCTAAAAAAATTACAATCAACTTCGATACCCATCCTCACTCTTAGTGTGGGTCGAAATCCAATTCCTACATTAGAGTCTTTAATCGGACTCTGATACCATATTAAATGTGTTTTAGAAAAATTATTAAAGTTGTTTGGAGTCTCACATTACCTAGATTTTCGGACTATTGAATATATAAATATGTGAAGACAACTTGATTCTTTAAGAAGACTATTGAATATATAAATATGTGAAGGCAACTTGATTCTTTAACTAATTAGTTTCAAGGACGAGATCCAAACACATTTAAGATGGACAACATATTTATTTGGCTAAGTTCATAAACCTACTTGACTTATCTTGAGGTTCGGATGAATAATTAGTCATGATAAACGAGAGTTGTACGGTAGTTTCTTTCAAAATTAAAGAGTTATTCTCAACCACTTAAAATATTTCCTTAAGAGATTTCCTAAAATCTATCGTATAGTTTAGATGAGTCTTATTATTGACCTTCACTATCGAACTCATATTATTATACTTCCTCAACATAATTATCAAATCCTATCTGTTGTACCCCAAAATTTGCCCTCCCATTTCATCAACATTTTCTCATCACAAGACTCTTGGAACTCAAGATCAAGTTAGGGTTTGCTCTGCTCAAGACCCCTCCTTGCACTGTTGACCCAAATTAGGGTTTGAGTTTGCACAAAGATGTTTTGACCTAAAATGCCCAAAATGACTTTCATGCTTCATATTGGACTCACAAGTAAATCCATACCAAGTTTCAAGCCTTGATTTCAATCTTTGCCCAGTCAATTGGACAATTGACCTATAAATCAGCTGTATTGGGAAAAGTCAGCTATGGCCAATTGACAGTCAAACTTCATAAAATTTGACCCACATCAACATTATGAACTCATATGAATCATTTGATCAAGTTTGGATCAAAATTCCACAAGAAATTTGATCAGATCACCAAAAGGGCAAAATAGTTATTTTTAGGGTTTTGACTGCACAAAGGCAATTTTTGACTGTTTGACCTAACCAATGGAAAACCAAACTCACATATGGACTCAAGGACTCAATGGCATTGTCTTGATCCATTCAACAAGTTCAAAAGATCTCAAATGCACAGGATTGACAAATGAATTTTCCAGTCAACTGATCAAAATTTGACTGTATACTGAAAAGTCAAACTTTGACTTTTTGGTCAAAATCAAGTGCCAAGATTCATTTTTCATCAAGACATGTCAAATTATGAAACTTGTTCATCAATAAACCCAAATTTTCAAATTAGGGTTGAAAATGAGAAAATTTCATAACTTAGAATTTTTCTAAGTTATGAAACTTCCTTATTTTTTCCTAACTTTGTCCCATTTTTTTCACCAAGATGCAAATGGATTCAAACAAAACTCAAAACATGAAAGTTGTATTCCATTGCAAAATCTACAACTTTTATTCACAAAGTTTCCTCAAAAGAAGCTTGTAGCTCAAGTTATGATTTTTGGAACAAGGGTGCAAAACATTTTTAACTTAGAGAGATTTTGACCTATTCTAGGCAGGATTTTTGTCCAACTTCTTGGCCATTTTTCACATGCTTCCACTTGGAGTTTAAATTTTAATTACAAAGATGGATTATATTACACATTCCAAGCTTTCCAAATTGTCCAAGAACTTCTCAAACACCCTTGTGGTTAGGGAGAATCGAATTTGCAAAGTTGGGCAAAATTCACTTTTGTTCTTGACCAAAGCATGTTCATAACATTGGCATTTTTCAAATAAGCTTGTACAAAGCTAGATTGCAGGCCTCAAAACCAGTTTTACACACCTTAATTAAATGCCAAACCATTGTATTATTGCATTATTTCATCCATTTGGACATTACATGCTAAACTAATCCTTAATTAGAAAAAGCAAGTTTGCCATTTTGGAAAAGAAATGCTTTATGTCAAATTCTGAATCTTTGAAGTACAAGCCAAATCTTTGAGGAAAAGTTGGGTAGACAAATCCCACTGATCAAGAGCAAAGTGTGTAACATGCTTGAGGACATTGGACAGGCCTATATCACAAGTTGACATTTCCTTGCTTACAAGAGAAGAAAGCTTGCAAAAACTCTCCAACTCTCACTTCCTGTAAACACCAGCCAAAACAAAGTTTGCAAACATTTTCCATACATCAAACCAAGCTTGAAACACGACTCAATCATCCCTAATCCCTCCTCATACAGAAGATCACATTTTTTTCTGCAAAACAGGGCACCTGTTGCAGTTTGACTTCCACAATCCATTTCACTCGTGCGTTTTGGCCAAAGCTTGTTCAAACACATTTCCTACCATCCACTGAAACTATCTCAAGCCCTAAACTCAACCTGTAACACCCCTAACCACGTTTGCCATTTTCACTTTCAAGCTGTGCAGGTGGACTTCCATAGCACGATTCAGAGAGTATCAAAGCAAGCTAGGTGTTGGAGAAGCATCCTTGGACTTCAGGCAAGCTGTACCAAAGCTCAAACTCCATTGAAGATACCTACATTGCTCTGTTCAAGTCAAGCTGAAACAGGTAAAAACATGAACTTCTATCTCTCAATCTAGGAAGAGTTAGGCTTAGGTTTGTGAATGAAACATGCTCTACTCATAGCCCTGAAGCCATACATATGATTACTTTTCATTTATATTAAGTATGCTGTGAGAATTTTTGCCATGAACATGAG